ATCTTTTTCTTTCTTTTTTTGTTTATAACGTTATTTTTGCTTGTTTCTTTTTCAATGAAAAGTTATATAGTGTACTACTTCATTTCCTTTGCGCAAACAGCTGAAATCAAGTAATCAAATCGAAACAAAACAAAGGCATGGCATAAAGTAACAGATACTTTTTCTTGTCGCTTCGCTCTTAAGCTGTTGCCACCGAAATTTAGCAAATAAAAAAAAATTCGGCATTCATATTTTCTGTAAGAAATGTACCTATTTTTTTTAAAGAAAATTTTCACAGAATGCAAACAATTGATGTACAGAGGACAAAATAAAAGAAGCTTACACCTTTAATAGCTTATGTCTAAATGGTTCAACAGATGGACCGAATTAATTACGCGAATTAATTAGTGAAAACCATATTTTAATTTACGAAAACAGACACAAAATCGTACCGTTTCTGAATAAACATACTTTTTTTATTTCGCTGGATTTGAAATTATGACTATCAAAATCAGGAAGTAATCGCAATCAGGAAAATACAGCCACTATAGTTAAGTTTAATAAATAGGGCTATGTAATAGTAGTTTAAAAAATATGGCTTACCTTGATTTGATTTTTTCTTATTTTGCATTTTGTATAATATTAATTTTAGGAATTTTATACTGTTTACATAATTACTTAATATAGTGTCACAAAAGCGCCAAGGAAAACTACTATTAATTAAAAAAAACATAAAAATTAAAATAAATAACTGCGCATTGCAACATGTAAAATATAAAATTTGAGTAAATCAAAGTTTAATTAGAAAATAATATTGAATTTTTTTGCAAATTAGTTAAATTTTAGTTAAATTACAATGATGAAAATAAAATCGCTTAATAGATAATAATCCCCTAAATGGAAAAATTAAAAAAAAGCAATAAACTAAGTATAGCAGACACTTTAAAACAATTATTATAAAACCTTTTAGTTTATATTATTTTAACAATCTAAGTATTGCATGATTTATTTTATGTTGGCAAGAATAAAAAATTCAAAATAGATTTCGTAATAAAAATTATGTAATAAATTTAATATGATTGATATTTATTCAAATTTTAATTTCATTACTTAATCAATTGAGACATTAAATTTTATTCTTATTATAATTATCATATAGTTTTTCCTTGTCTTTGTATTTAATATTAGTTATATTTTTATAAAGATAAGAAAAAAACTGAAACTGATTTGTCTGGAATTAATTTCTTAATACCATTATTAATTTAATAATAGGATGTTGTAATAGTTTTCTAGTTTTTATGCCATGATATTATTTATTTTTATTAATGATTTATATTATAATAATAAGTTATTATTATTAAAAAATTTGCATTATAATAATAAGTTATTATTATTAAAAAATATGTTATAATAATAAGTAATTATTCTATTAGATATGCATTTGGGGATTTTTATACATTATAAATAAGCATTTCTTAGATTAGTTAGTAACTAATGATTTTGAATCTTATGCAATAGTGGGAGCTCATATTAGAATAAAGTTGAAGTACTCAGTACATACAGGAAACGATAATAATACTTATCGAATACAGTAATATCGCGAACTTTAATAATAACTATAATAACTGAACGCGGTAATATCGCGATTGATCAAAAAGATAATATAGAGAATAATATACATGAAGAAAATTATTGATTACGATATTGTGAGTGCTGATATGACGAGATGTTGATATAATGAGTGTTGATGTGATGAAAATATTAAACAATATAAAATAATATAAATTACTTAAATTTGAAAGATATCGCGATATATGTAATAATCGGCGTTGAACAGCCAACCCAATGCTTAGTTTACTATCATTAATGTTCAACGTCGCAGCCTAGTATTTTTGAACTCCACCCAGAAGACGAGGGAACTCCTGTATCAAGCAATGGGTTAAACTTGCATTCGTAGAGGACTTTTTGGTGTAACTAACCTACATGGAGAAGAAAAACACGAAAAGCTCTTACGGTTAGCCCGACAGATAGGGAATTCTAAACCATGATCCGTCTACCACTAAGGACATTTTACGTCAGCACTGTGGTCTGTGCGAGACAGGAGCAGAAATCGTATCAACCAGCTACCGCTGGAACTCGAACCTGGTGTCACCTCATTAAGCTAATCGCATTATATTTTTCAAGTATTTTTATTATTTTCAATTGGTACTTTTTGTTTACTAAGACCAATGTACGTGTTGGCGACAATTTGAGAAAACAGTCGCCAGCGCAAGATTCTTAATAATAATAATAAGTACCTTAAATCTCAACAAAAGTTTTCAAAGACTTTATGACGCTATTTCACTTTTGGTAAATTAATTTTTTTTTTTTTTGTACATAAACTGAAGCTTGGTAAATCGAGCAGTGTTCAAATGTACGCAATAAGTTTTAAAGTAGAATTCAAATTAAAATTGAAATTAAAATTGAAATTAAAATTGAAATTAATCAACGCTGATTAAATTTCAGTTTAATCAGCGAACAGCTTCAAAAATTCTAATTACGTTGCTCAGGCTATTTTTAGGGCAATTAATTTTCTTCCAAACTTAAGCATGTTTCAAATTTTTATTTTGCAAATATAGTTGTTTTAACTTGTTAGTGCTTCAAAAATTTTGTCAAATGTCATTAAATATATACATTCAAAATTTAAACTAATATGTTCAAAGGTTCTTAATTTTAGCAAAAATTTGTTCAAATGCTTTAGGTTTTCACAAATGAGTTCAAGTGTTAGGAAGTTATTGAAATTAAAAAATATAAATGTTCCGGCAAAAATGTTTACAGCAAAAATTTTTCGTTTTTGCGAATATCTTCTTAAATTCATTAAAATAAATTTCAAACCAAAAATAATAATGATAATTTGATTCCTTAACTTGCTATAAGAAATTAGAAATCCCAGATCAATTAAATTCCAATAAATTAATTTTAAATTTCCCTTTGAATTTCAGCAAACGTGTTCTAACTTTTTGCAATTTCGCAAATGTTTCAAGCGTTGAAAATTTCTCTAAATGTAGCTGATAGTTCATGTCAAAAATGTTTTCTTTTCCAATCAAAAAAAAATTTCAACAATATTATCTAACTTAAAACAAATCAATTAGTCCTAGTAGCAAAAACACACACTATATTTTGTTATTGATCTCCTTGTAAAGTAAATTGAAAATTCCATTTCTACAATTATAGCTGAAACATAAAAAATAAATAAACATACTTCATAAAAAGAATCAATAAGATTTTTTTCCAATATCCGGCTCATATAAAATTAATTGAGTTATTCCTTAAACAAACTCTAAAGTATGTAATCACAAATAAAACAAAGAAGGCAACTACAAAACAATTTCTCGATTTATTAGTTTTTTTTAGAAATTCACTAACTTTTCCTACTTACGCTAACATAGAAGTTTTAAAAATTTAATAGACGTGTTTAAAATTTTAGAAATTTTTTCTAGCTTTAAAAAGTTTAACAATGTAATTTTCTTTTATTTTTTATTTTAAATATTTTATTTCAATCTTGTTTACTTTTCGTATTGAAATTTCTATAAAACTGATTAAAACTGAAGTGGGGATAAACATGTTCCATATTATGATAAGAATAAATGATAATGATAATAAAATAAAATAATAATAATACAATAATAATTATACAATAATAATATTAATAAAATAATAATAATTTAAGAATTTTTATTGATTTTTTTGTTAATAGAAATTTAAAATTGCAAATCGTATCAGTTTATGTAAACTTGTTCAAACTTGAGTTTCAAAAGTAACATAAGTTAAAAGTAAGTTTCTTGTCAAAAATCGTAGTTGTTGGTACAAATTTCTTCGCAGTGATTTTTTTTTAAATTTAAATACTTTTCAATCAAGAATGATATTCACCTTGTTCAATCAAATTATCATGATCAAGTATCAAATTAGTTCATAAGTTTTGTAAACTTGTTCAAACTTGAGTTTCAAAAGTAACATAAGTTAAAAATAATTTTCTTGTCAAAAATCGTAGTTGTTGGTACAAATTTCTTCACAATGATTTTTTTTTTCAGTTTTATGCCAGAAATAAATAAGTTTCTAATAAAAAATATAAACAATGCCAAGTCAAAATCGTTTATAGCAGATAGAAAATCTATTTTTCTCATAAACTCAAATCCAAATTTATTAAAACTATTTATTTCTAAGTTTCTTATAAGTTTCTAAGAAAAAAAATAAACAATGTCATGTCAAAATCGTTTATAGCAACTAGAACATCTATTTTTCTCATAAAGTCAAATACAAATTTATTAAAATTATTTATTTCTAAGTTTCTTATAAGTTTCTAATAAAAAAAATAAACAATGTCATGTCAAAATTGTTTGAAGCCGATGAAACATCTATTTTTCTCTTCAACTGAAATACAAATTTATTAAAACTATTTCTAAGTTTCTAATAAATAAAAAAAAAGCAATGTCATGTCAAAAAAAGCTAAATTGCTTGTAGCCAATAGAACATCCATTTTTCTCATCAACTCAAAGGCAATTTTATTAAAATTACTTTTTTCTAAGCTAAAAACCAATACGTTTCTAATAACAAAAACATTTTGTAATTCTTTTGTTTATTAAAAATCTCACTTCTACATTCAAATTAATGCATAAAAAAGAAAAAGATACATCCAGCAAATTCGAATAAAATCCTTTTTAATAACCCATTCATCTAAAACAGCGCTATATTAGAATCTTACATTGCCTTCCGTAAACACACACATAAAAACAAACACTAAAACAACACAATTTCTCCTATAATAGCTCCCAAGAAATTCACTACACTAATTCAAGCCAATAGAACATCTATTTTTCCCATCAACTTAAATACAAATTTGTTTCTAAGCTAGAAATAATATAAATAAATTTGTATTTCAGTAGATGATTTAAAAATATATATATATGTTTAGTTAATTCTTTTGTTTATTAAAATTCTCACTTTCTACATTCAAATTAATGCAATAATAAAATCAAACATACCTCATGTAAATTCGAATGAAATCCTTTCTAATATCCCCATTCATATAAAACAACGTTATTTTAGAATCCCCACACCGCCTTCCGTAAACACACATATAAAAAACAAACACAAAAACAACACAATTTTCTCTTTTTATAGCTTCCAAGAAATTCACTACCTGTCTCTACTCGAACCAATCGAGTAGTAAGAACCGAACATCCATTGAAAAATAGTTTCGGAATCTGTCTTGTCTGGATCTCGCCAAACCTTGGCGAAGTGAACTTGTTTTGGGGGAGAAAAAAAAAGAGCAACGCCCGAGAAAAGCTTTTGTGTTTTTTTGAGTTAAGCACTGTAAGCTATTGCAATTTGTTAGAAAGAAAATACTTCTTGGTTGTTAAAAGAGTTTTTACGATGTTTTTCTATGAACAATTTTACTGTAGTTAAAAAAGCCTGCTATTGTTACTGAACTTGTTCGAGCAATATAACGCGCTGTTAATTCGAATGCAGATATTGTGTGGGGGGTATTGTATTATTGTGTACGAATAACAGCAACAATATTTTTTTCACAGATATTTGCTGATGTATTAGGTCTCTAATGCGCAAACAACGGATCTGATGTTTCATTGCTTTACACGAGAAGGGTTACACATGCATTATTTTAAATTTCGAGCATTTGTATTTTTCAAATTGTTTACTGAGAGCATCGATGACTCAGGGGACAGAGCGTTCGCCTTCCGATGACGCGAACCTGGTTCGAATCACAGTCGATACGAATTCCGCATCCGGCTTTCACCAAACACAGTGCTGACGTGAAATATCCTCTGTGGTAGACGGATCATGGGTTAGAGTCCCCTTGCCGTCAAGCTAACCGTGGGATGTCCTCGTGGTCTTCCTCTCCGTGTAACGCAAATGCGGGTTAGCTCCATCAAAAACAAAAGTACTCCACGAAGGCAAATTTCTCCCGATACTCGATCCAGGAGTTCCATTGTCTTCTGGATTGGGTTCAAAATTACATGGCTACGTTATATTTACAAAAATGGGGTCGGCTGTTCAACGACGGTTATAAAAAAATATATAAATTGTTCCTTGAGGGCCGGGATAGCTTGGTTGTTAGGGCACTGGCCCCATGTCCCCTCTGGTCGAAGACTCTCCGTGCAGTGTAGTAAGTTGTGACTGATGCACGTTAAATCTGTCGAGTCACAAAGTCCCCCATGTTCCCGTTACAAATCATTCCTCTGGGGATACTGATCCAGAACTTTCTTCGTCTTCTGGATTGGTTCAAAATAACAAGTCTACGGAGTTGAACATTAGTAATTCCAAAATTGGTTCGGCTGTTCAACGACGATTATAAAGTAAAATTTAAAAAAAAATTAGCGACGTTTTTCTAATGATAAAGAGTAAATAATAAGTAACAACCTAATTATAACTATTGATGAAGACGCGCATAATGTGTCTTCATTAATCATTTAATTGATAATATTTTATTTTATTTTATAACTGGTGTAGAACAGCTGACCCAAATATGTGTTTACGACTATCAATGTTCAACTCCCTATCATTGTAATTTTGAACCCTACCCAGAAGGCAAGGAAATTCCTGGATCAAGTACTGGGACAAACTAGCATTCGTAGAGACTCTTTAATAAGACTAAAGCTTATTTGTCTTACATGGAGAGGAAAACCGCTAAAATCTCCCTTGGCTTGACGGCAAGGGTATTCTAACCCATGATCCGTCTACCCCTCAGAATTCAATTAACGAGCTACAGCTGAGATTCGTACCTGATTCACATCAAAAGGAGGTGAACGCTCCATCTCCTGAGCCACCACGACTCTAGTCATTAGCCTTTGAAAAATGTAGCATCCAAATAAGTTCTACCATAGGACTTCTATATAGGACTAAACTCATTATTTAAATCGGCAAAAATACACACTTTTGCTAACAAATAGGATGGTAACGAAAACTAAGTCTGACACAAAAATTAAAAATGAAAGAAATACGGGTAAACGGGGAAAAAAGAAAAAGGTCACTGTTTTTTACCGCTCTCTTATCCTACTAGAAGACTTAACATGTTGATTTTCGAAACATACGCCTATCAATCAACCTTCTCGTTTTACATCCAAGCTTAACATGTTGACTTTCGAACAACTCTCATAGTTAACACGTAGATTTTCATACCCCTATATGCCAGTGCTCTCATTTTTAATGCAGGGTTAACTTGTAGATTTTCGAAATATACACCAATCAATCAGATATTTCATTTTACTCTTTAAGATTCATTGCGGGTATTGTTAAAAGTCGCCTATAAATCAGCCTTTTCACTTTATACTAATGCTTAAAATGTAGTTTTTCGAATTCATACTTTTCATCAAACTCTTCTGTTCTCTGTTTTAAAAATATACACCTGTATATCAGTTCTAACATTATTGATATATAGGCTTAACAAAGTGATTTTCAATGTAAAAATCTAGTTATATTTGTCTCATTAATCAGTTTGTATATGCAATAAAAAAATCAAGAGAAAACTAAGAAAGATAATTCAAATAACATTTTAGTCAATTTAATGAAACTTATTATTTTAATCTAATAGGTTTCGCGTCACGAACAAAATAAAGAAATTCACCATAAAATAACTTTCATGCAAAGAATGCTAAACAATAGAATCTATCAGCGTATTTTTTGTGTAATCGAAAAATTTATTAAATTCAATTTTTTTTTAAAAAAATAATATGTTGCATTCATGAGTTAGCACTTGTGAGATTAAAAATTAGTTTAATTAAATTTTTTTTCAAAATATTATGTTTCATTTATGAGTTTACTTTTTTCGATGCTAAATATTTCTAAGTAAAAATCGCATTTCTGTCCTTTCATGTTTTTTCTACTACAATTAGAAATACCAGAGCATACTATCACGAAATATTAGAATCCAAAATATACAATAAATAATGTTTTTTTCTCCTCGTAATTTTTCTTCAATTCAATTTTTTTTAAAAATATTTAAACTATTACATGTCTTTTCTTTCTCAAGATTGTAAAACTCTAATTTTAGAAACAGGTTCTATGCATGCTTGCTACATATTTTATTTAAAAAAAATTTATTTTATCGTTCGCTTATGTTTTATTATTTTTATTTTATTTAAGAAAGCAATTATAATTTTTCAGGTTAATAACACCAATCGTATTCATTCGTAATAAACACATTGAATGACTAGAAAAAAGGATATTTAATTCGAAATCCAGCTCATTTTCCTCTTTATGTATGAAACCTCTAATTTTTTAACTCATTTTTATTGAAAATACCTAATACCAAAGTAATCGCTATCCTAATAAACAAATAAATACCTTTGAAGCGATAAACGCAGACGGTAAACCTGACCTTAGGTCAGACGAAAAAATTCTTTTGAGTCAATTGAAGAGAGAACGGACAACAGAATGCCGTTAGCACGTGACCTTTGTGATTGGATGCTTTTGTACCGTTACTTGAGGTTACGTTGCCAGGTGATTAAAGAGAGAAATTGAGTAATAAATGAATGTGAAAAAATGGAAACAGCAAACCATTTCGTACTGCTTAAAAAAAACGATAAAGAAAAAAAACTCGGTTAATTAAATAAACTGGAATAATAAACAGATTTATTAAAAAAAGATAAATTTAATTCTTTTGATATAATGTTTGGCGCTCATAATAAAACGTTTTTACAGAAGTAAAAAAGAAAAAAAAATTTATCTAACTGCCCGGTAAAATGCCTCATACGTTTAAATTAAAAATTTCTTCCAGAAAATATAGTTGAACTATATAGTATTAGTTTCAAAATATCCGTTCATAAATTCTATTAGCAGTTTTTTTAGTTTTCTGAGCAAGCTGATCAGCTTAGTTTTACAGTATATTGAAACTAAATTTAAAATAATTTTACAGTCAAATGAAACTAATTCTAGAGTTGAGAAACTTTCTTGAAGCTAATTTAAAATAATTAATCCATAAGAACGATAGAATTGCTCTAGAAAAAACTTTTCCGAAGAAGAAAACCAGAACTTAGAAGCAGTGAAGCAGGATTGTTAAATTCTTAAGGCTAAAAATTGGAAGAGTATGACTGATAATTAGAGTGGCTGGCGACAGAAGGCTTTGGCTCACCCTTTGCTACCATGCCATAAATGATGAATAATTGAAATTATGAAATATACTAGAATTTCTGGGTTTCTTTATGAAACTCAGATTTGAAATCTGCGTTTTCGAATGAGGACTCATAAGGCATTTTCTTAATTGGGGAAAAATAAATTTTAAAAAGAATTAAAGTTTTGTTGATAAAACAATAAACATAAAGTTTAATGATTATATCGTTTAAAAATAAAAGTCTCACGAAAGTCTGAAAGGAGTCTAATTATTATTCTTTTTTGTGATTCAAAATATTTCTGTTTTATAAAAAGTTAAATTGTAAGACACAAATGCTCTTTTTTTATATACATTTTGTTTATAATTTTATATTTTTTGTTGTTGTTTATTTTTTTCTCGTTTGAAAATTAAGGTTTTTCATACTTGTCCAATAGGATACACAATTTTAACATTTTATTTAGGCTCATTTGTTTATTTTTTAGCATCTAAAACAATAAACAGAATACATACTAATGTTACTAATAAGCAATGTAACTAATACCTAATGAAGAGCTTGTATAATGTAACTAATGAAGATATGTAAATGTAACGATAATGTAATTAATGAAGAGCTTGTGTGCTGTGTCAGTTTATCTGTGGATCTCTCTTATTAATTTCAGAGCCTCTTAGCAACGTTAGCCCTGAAATTCAGACAGCGTTTGCACTCGGGGAGACATTAGGACAATTTTTCGGATCCAGATCTGAAACTGCCTGGTAGAGTTTCAGTCTTCAATCCTAAGACTTCGATCCAAAAAATTTTCTTAGTTTTTACTCAATTCGGCAGGGAAGTTAAGAGAAAGAAATATTTTCCTCAATGTTTTAAAAATTGACATTGTTATAAATTAAACTGCAGACGATTCTGTTTTTTCTTTCTTCAAATATTTTAAAAAATAGCTGTGATATTCGCGACCTTACAGGTCTAAAAATTCATCTAAAACTACTTTTTTTCGTGGTTACGTTTTTTAAACGTGGTTCTATAAACATAAATAATTTAAAATCTAGAGTAAATCAAATTAACGAAAATTAGTTAAGATTAATTAATTAAGGAAAATTAGTGTAAAATTAATTGAAAGAATTTCTTTTTTGT